CAAAAAACTCTCTGGCGCTCTAAGTCTTCTGCAAATCAGCAAAATACCAACTTTTCTACCATCAAAAGTCACATATTTTTCCAGTTTCTTTATCAATCTCACTTCTTCTTTTGTTTCTTTATTTTTTTTCTTTGATTTATGAAGTTGGGTTGAAAAAAAATAACGTTCATGAAGCCAGAAAATTTAATAATGGTGTTCAAATGTTTAACATCCTTTTTTAGTGGGTTATGCAAGGGTGTTCAAAGTCTATTTTTTTTTTAAAACAAGTAATAGTTTACCCTATACATAGTATAATTTTTCGGCGAATGATGGTCAGTTCGTCGTACATAGCTTCGCCCTGGATGCACCTATTCTCGTGAAATCCTGGATACGCCTCTGACTATACCCATGCTTATAGTCACATCTTTTCACATGTTGTCCTCCGTAATCCATTAATGGCAATTTAGGAACCACATGAATGGATGCGACTGAGTACATATAATGTAAATGAATTTTCGACACATAGTGTTTAATGTTTATTAACAAATTTACTGATCAAAACTCAGTAAAAGTTTATTGATGTCGCATGTAATGTGTGACATAAATATTCAAAATTCAACATTGTTCCATTTTTTTTGGAGCAAAACCTAATTGAATTTGATGTCCTAGCAACGTACGCGAGTTGTAAGCCTTCTTTTTTGGTCCTTAACGATATCACAATTTCCTAATGGTACTAATTCTAATGTTGAAGGGGAGACTTGGCGTAGCTGGTGAAGTTGGTGTCATGTGACCAGGAGGTCACGCGTTCGAGCCGTGAAAACAATCTCTTGTAGAAATGCAGGGTAAGACTGCGTTCAATAAACCATTGTGGTTCGGTCTTTCCCCGCACCCCGCACATAGCGGGAGCTTAGTGCACCGAGTCACCCTTTATTTACTAATTCTAATGTAAAAAAAAAAGGACATTAATTAAATAATAGAAGATTGATAGCCATAACTCATTTGTCACATACGTAGTGGGTTCAGCCCTCCAAGCCTGTTAGAGCTCTCTTCAATCTTCTCGTAGCGAGATCAATCAGTTTCGGGTCAAATAAAAGAACGATAATAGATATAGTGATAATTATATGAAGACATAGAAGGGAGAACATGAAAATACGTTGCAAGATTTCTTTAACGAAATGGACAAATTGATGGGGTAAAGTAGCACCCTAATGAAGATGCAACAATGACAACACGATGGGCCATTGCACCAAAGATCACCCACTAGCTATAGCTAATGTGTGAGACCCTCGAACCCTAAATTTTTGCCTAACGTCGTTTTCTTGTTCTTTTAGAACTTATAAACTTTAAATTCTGTGTTCGCTGATGTTCGCTACTCCTATTTTAATTTGTTATTTCTCCATCATATTTTGGCATGTTTTGTTTATTGTGAAAAGACTTTTCAAGAAAACAAGATGATTTATTGTTTTTTTTCCCCTTTAATTTTGTTGTTTTTTTATGATGTTTTGGCCTGGAATGTTTTGTGAGTTTTCAATAAGCTAAGTAGATGAATGATTGGATTTTCTTCAAATTTGTTTTTCTCCTCGTGCTTTTTAAAAGGATGATTAAATTGCTAGAACCATTTGCCCCCACTTGAGTCCTTTGGATATTGCATAATTCCTTCGTGACTGTTCCCTTTTGGTCCCATTGCTTTATCATTCATCTAGTCTTATGCACACAAATAAAAAAAACTCTTTTTTTTTTAAATTCTTTTTTCCGCAATATTTCGGTAGATTGTCACAAAATTTAAAGTGATACTGATGGAAGTCTTTCTTACAATAAATATTGGATCAATTCTCACTGTTCCCTTCCCTTAACTCCACGAAATAGAAATATATTACGAACAATTTTCTTGGCTGATGTTGTTTTAATTTAAAATAGGGAAAGAGCTTGTAAAAGTAGGGCGAGTTTAGAGTAGCAGCCTATTAATACAATTTTTTAGTGTTTTCTAATTTTATTACATTTTTCATGTGTTGGGACATGAATGTACAAAGCAATATAATAATTCATTTTAATTTCTTCTTTGTAACTGGATAACTTGGTAAAGTATGTGTAATTTGTGGACTTTGGTCAGTTTTCAATCACTCTCAACGAGAGATAGCAAATACTTGTACTCAAAATATGTTGAAAATATAAAGATCATGTTTCAGCCAAAAGGTAGAAAAGAGAGCTACTGACACCTAAATCAGTCCTTTTCGATCTTCTATTCCTTTTATTGGTACATTACCTAATTAATTTAAACAAGTAAAAACTCATATTCTTTTGAAGAATTCATTATCTATTTTGGTCATAACAATTTTCAAGAAATTAAGTGTGTCTGCATTTACATGAATACTCCTGGAGCTAGTGTAGCGCAATTTTTCCGTGAAAGCGTGACGATTTGTGCACCAAACTTTTTTTTTTTTTTTTTTTTTTTTTTTTTACGTACGGAGGCCTATTTTCAGCAAAACCCTATTGCCTTCAACTCAACTCATAGCTTATGCTGTATACCCATCTCTGTATTTATGAATATAGTATATACACTGATCATATAACTTTTTTGTTTTATAATAAATAGATATACAAGATTAGATCAACGAAAATTCGCAGGTCACTTCCTACAGAACAACTAATACCTTTTTTTTCTTCTCTTTTGTGGGCTGTGACTCATCACTCATGTATTGATATTGTCGTAAAAAGAAATACTCAACTTGTTCAACGCACAATTAATTTCAATTTAGACACATAACGGATGTTGGCATAATATCATGTTTCTCAAAAAAAAAAAAAAACATGATATAGTAAAGTGATAGTCTTTGAAAGAATTAAAAATAATTCAAAAAGTGTCCTTAATTATAATAGTAACATATATTACTCAAAGCTATCTTTTAGTACTCAACAAAAAGCTTTTATGTTATCTTTTGGAGTATAAATTGAAATACAAAAATTATTTCCCTGTCTTGTGTTTAGATATATAGTGATACACAATATGTCATAATTGTCTTTTGGTCCACCAAATTTTACGTCATTCGTATCATTAGATTTGTCTATATATTTATTTAATAGAACTCAGAAAGATTATTTAAATTCGTCACAGAAAAAAAATGTGAGTGAAATGCAGAAAGCAATCTCTTTATTCCCTTTTGAGTGACATGACCTTATATTTTTTTTGTGCTTTACTTTTCATGTAGTTGCTCAGATATTTTCAATACACTAATTTTTAGTTGGATTATTGTTCAGATATGCAATTCTCGACCATTAACTTAAGTAAAAAACTCCATTATATATCCCATAATATCTAATTGCACAAACTAAGTGAGAATTTTTTCCTTGAAAGTAGCAGTACTTCATAATCTCAAAAATTTATCTATGTTTTTAAATGTCGAATTGATTGAATTAAACGCTTTTTAAATGAATTCACCTAGTTTTAGACAACTCCAAGCCCTACAACCACCGGCGTAAGCAGGATTTTTCATAAGTGGTGTCGAACAGGAAGTGCCCAAATGAACGAGCCACTATAATAACATTATTAGGGTTCTAAATCAACTCGAGTTATTGTGAATTTTTTTATTTTTATTTTTGGACAATAAAAATTACTTACCACTTTGTGGCCAAAAAAATCTTTGAACCTTTACAGCTTCCACTTTTTAATACAAATGAGGATTTACTTTTTAACAAAAGGGGCTTAAGCCCCAGAACAACACGCGTGCAATCAAGTTTCGAACCCTCGAACCTTGGTATGCTGCAAATCTGACTGCTCGACCAGCAAACCATACGGCACCTGCTGTCTTACAATGTCACTTACTTTACATATACCTGTATATTCTATATGGAAACAATATATATAATTAGTAAAGATTTCCGACGAAGCGGTGTCGAGTGATACCGCTTCGCCTAACGTAAATCCGCCCCTGCGGCTACAATTTATACATTCTATGTAATTTTCTTATTTTTGGTAGTTGATATTTTAAGTTAAATTTAACAATGATCAGACTTCAATTCTCCTCAAAAAATCTACATTGAAATATGGTGAAAAAACAAATAGATAATGCTTGAAGTCATACTTAAGTATTGGACAAAATCTCACTCTCTTGAATCCTCTTGTTGACCAAACATGCATTGAGATTGAGAACAATTAATTACACATTTAAAAGAAATAAACAATTAATGTATCAAATCACATTATCTCGTCTTCATACTCCAAATCTTACAATTTTTTTTTTTAAATTTAAGCATCCGAAATTTAAAAAACAATATTTCGTTTCATCGATTTCCATAAAAAAAACAGACACTATAAGGATAAAGCGCTACAAGAAAAACTAAATTTCTATTTTTTTAAAACCCCAAACAGGTAATACTAATACAAGCAGGGGTGAAGCTATGTGTAGTTGACCACTTTTCGCCGGAAAATTATACAGTATATAGGGCAAAATATTATTTGTTATTGATTAAAAAAATAGACTTTGAACATCCTTGCATAACCCATTGGCAAAGGGTATTCAAAATTTAAACACTCTTATTAAATTATTTGGTTTCGCCCCTGACAACAAAGTTATAGTAAATCCGCGGTTTTAATATTTACTTCTATACGAATGAATACCAAATGAAACATATAGCAATAAATAATCATGATATTATTAATTCCAAAATTATAATTATAATTTTGTACGCGAACCAAAGGACCCATGAGAATCTATGCAAATTACCGAAGTGGTAAAAAGAAAATCTGAAAATTTGACTGTTGGAGGTAAAAATAGAGAAAAGCATGAGGTTAAAAGCGACAAAACAAAACGTGTTCATCAGTGAACGGCCCAAATTGTACGACAACTCCACCCCTACAACTCCCGAATCGGACATTGGCGTATAATACAAACACATCGTCACGTCCCCCTCTCCCCCCCCCAATTTTCACAGGTTCCCCGTAATTTCATTCAAACCCAAGTCCTTTTCTGTCTTTTCAACACTCCCCTTTTCCTCCTATATAATTCACCTCCCCGTTTTCCGTTTTCTCTCCGCTTTCTCAAATCTCAGCTTCTTCCCTCTCTAACCATATCTCCATTTTTACACACACTACACACACTAAATTGCTTCACACAATTCGTGTGTTTGCTTTTGTTATTCTGAAACCGAATATTTTAGTATTTCGATTTTCGAGAAACAATGGGTTTTCCTGTTGGTTACACGGATTTATTCCTACCCAAATTGTTAGTCCACGTACTAACAATTCTGGGTTTTATCAGAAAGTTCATTTGCACGCTTTTCACAGTTCTGGGTCTAGGAGATTTCCTCGAACCCGAAATGTCATTCCCGACCCGACCCGAATCTCACTTGGAGCTCCACTCAGTGTCAGCAACGTTGATCCGGGAGCTGTTGCCGGTGGTTAAGTTCTCCGAACTGGTTGACCCGCCGGAGAGCTGTGCCGTTTGTTTGTACGAATTTGATGGGGATGATGAGATCCGACGGCTCACAAATTGCCGACATATATTCCACCGGAGCTGTTTGGACCGTTGGATGGACCATGATCAGAAAACGTGTCCACTTTGCCGTACGCCGTTTATCCCCGACGATATGCAAGATAGTTTTAATGAGAGATTATGGTTGGCTTCTGGCATTTCTGATTTTTACGGCGAGTATTCTCCGGTTGCCGCCGGTTTGTAGCACTACTGATTTTCATTTTTTCTGGTGGTTGAGATTTGATAAGGTAAAATGTATATACTACAAGAGAAAGAAAAGAAAAAAGATGAGGGAGGAAAAGAGAAAAAAAAATTACTCCTATTTGTATAGTGTACAATTTTGAGACTATGGAATGAAAATCGGTAGTTTTAATTTTCATTTTTCGTGAATTTTTGAACCCTACTTAATTACTTCTTTTGCATTTTAATTTCTGCTAAATTTAGATGTCTCACTCATATTGTGAAAATCGATTAAGGTCCAGTCAATTTTGTTACAAATAATTCGTACACTTTGTTTGGTCAACTATTGAATATATTGGATAAAACAAACTATGCATTCACATAATTTCATTTTTTTTTGTAAAGAGTATGAATGTGAAAAAAAAAATCAAGACATGTAAGAAATTATGTAAGAATTCAAAATCATTTAAATGAAAGGCAATTATGTAAGAAAGAAAAGGAAAAAAAATGCAATTATAGCAATTTAATGAGTATTATTCTTGTTAGTACCGTCAAACCTTTCTGTAACAGGCTCGTTTGTTCCGAATATTTTTAGATATTATAGCGAAGTGCCGTTATATCGAAAAAAATTGACTTTATAGTGAAATGTTATTTTATAAGGATGATATAATAGAGAAGTCTGGCTCTAATATGAGTCAATTAGACAACTAGTTGTAACAGTTCCGTAGTTATGCCGGCTGTTGGAGTATTTTATTTTTTATGCAATTAATTGCAAATAGGAGACTAATTCTAAAATTATAAAATATCTCAAGCTTGGAATTGACAACATTTTTGGTCAAGTGATGATATTTAATATCATAACCTCTATCTTTTAAGATTTCTTAAATAAAATTACGACTAATTAATGATAATCTTTTACACTGAGAAATTATCATAGGACGTTGCTTTCAGGTGAGGAATATAAGGCATTAGGGGGTTGTACTGTTGGTGCTCAGTGTTAAATTGGTACCTTCCCGTTTAAACCGGATCTTGTCTTCCACTTCCCCAATGTACGATACATGCCGTTTCTTTTTTCAGAGTTATCCTTGGAGCAAAAAGCCTAAGATTGTTTGTTATATTTTTAATTAACAAATTAAGATTCAACAACAACAACAATTCAATATAATCCCACTTAGTGGGGTCTGAGGAGGGTAGTGTGTATGCAGGTCTTACCCTTATCATGAGGTAAAAAGCCTGTTTCCAAATAGACCCCCGACATTCTTCCCTCCAAGAACTTCCCACCTTGTTCTTGGGAAGACTCGAACTCACAACATCTTGATTGGAAGTGGAGGTTGAATCTTAAGATTAATATGATCAATTTTAATGTTAATTAATACTATTAGATAAATTTTTTAATATATGTAAAAACAGTCACAAAATAATTAAAGTGGATGGAAGAGAGTAATAAATTGTCTACTTCCTATGATTCCCTCTCCTACTAATCAATGAACTACTCCATTTCAAAAATAATTCCAATTAAAAACAATGAAGTAAGTAATAATTAAATGGTTCTCATATAAGTTAGCGCTAGCAACTTTTTTGATTGAACTTGGGTTTGGGGTTTGGTGTCAGCATAGAAGAATAGAACCTATGTCTTAGGTCTTAGAATTAGCTAGGGTTTCCAGATACCTAATATTCGTTGGCCCCTACAACCAAAAACGACCTATGTATCCCTAGCCAAGTTTAGACTAGGACTCAAAAGCAACTCTTAACCTTTTTTGCTTTCTTGTTTTATATTCGATATTTGTATTAAAATTTAAAACCCGATTAAATTTAAACTCGTATTGAGAAGTCATATACAATAGGTAAAACACTCCCTAATATGACTTCATACTCAGCAAAGGCGAATCTAGAATTATTAGAATATGGATGCACCACTGAAAATCCGGAAAAAAAAGTACTAAGTAGGAATCGTCGATTCATGCTCCTTTTAATGAATAACTTTACATTCAACCAAATGCATCATTCAACCTTTTTGGACCATCGTGACCGACGATAATATTAGACCAATTTTTTGAAATATTTACATAAATACCTAATTTGATGGAAAGACCATGAGTTCATGTGCACCATAAAACGACCAAAATGCGCCCCTGATGATCAGGATTCGAACTTGAGATTCATAATTAAATAATGAAGAAGTACTTGTCACTTCAACATAATTCTAGAGGGACTTTGAATTCAATTAAGGGCTTTTCTTATTTTTGTTGTTGTCAAAAACTATTTATATTCGCTAGCCGAAAAAATATATAAAATTTGTATAATTTTTATATATAACATAATAAATATATATATACTATATATATATATATAAAATATATATTTTTTCTTGAGTGTCATTTTTGTACTGGAAAAAATTAATTTTATATATGGAATTCATTATAAGATGACACGTCATGACACATGGACCAGTTAAAGAAGAACAAGTGATGAAGAATAATCAAAGAGGCACAAGCTTCAACAGGTACGGGCAGCCATTCAGATAAAAGGCAAGGAAGGCAGGTGCTCGAACCTCTTTATGACGTAAGAGAATGAATCTGATAGAAAATAAGGAATAAATACGAATTATTGGGTATTAAATACAGAAACGTTAAAGAATCTGTATTGAATCAAATATGATTGCTGATTGTAACGTTACATTAAATGCCATTAATTGACAATAATGACTCAATTATGGAAAAAACGAAACGTACCACTTTGAAATAGCTATAAAAGGAGAAGATTGATCATTTATAAGGACATGAAATATCACCGAAATATACTGATTTACTTTATTTTCTTCTGTTCATCTGATTATTATCAAAGTCAATTTCTTTTATTCATTTTATATATTGATTATCAGTAATCCGAATTTTTTTAAAATAAAACTTTGACCGAAATTACTATTTTTGGTTAAACAATTTTCCTTTCAAATCAATGGGGATAAGTTGATATCTAAAGCCGCAATAGTGAAAAAGCAAGTGCCAATGTGTCAATAGTAGCACATTGTTATAACCTGGCCTCATGGGTTGGTCTTAATAGTTTTGGCAAAACTTTGCCATTTGTAGTGTTGGCCTTGATCTTTGTGCCATTCTTTGTTTGTTTGTCCCTCAAATATTCAATTAACCGACACCTTTACAACTTTGTTACTGTCTCCTAATTATTGAGGTTTATTATTGGTGTTTATTAATATTCCTCATCTTTTTTTAGGGTACAAATGTGAAAGCTGTCAATATACCACAAGTTCTTTGTCCAAAAAGAAGATTAACTAACATACGAACCCGTTTGGCCATGATTTTTTTTATTTTTTTCGAAATTAGTATTTGACCATAAATTTTTTAATTTTCACTTGAAAATAAATTTTAAATTTTTTCGAAAATAATAAAAACTCTAAAAAATTATTTTTTGAAATTTTCACTCAGATCATTTATAAAAATTCAAAAATATCCCAAAATTATATTCATGTCCAAACATAACTTTAATTTTTAAATACCATTTTCACTTATTTTTTTTCTTTTTTTCGAAATTTTACAATTCTTGTGTCCAAACGCCCTCATTCTCAGTTAATTTTAAAGTCCATCCAACAGTATTTGCACAAGAAATAAGTTGATGAAAAGTGGTGGAATATAGTGCCATGCATTGTGGTAATAGTTTGAAATCTTTAGGGTTGTAGTGAAGTGATAAGTACTCCTTCATTCTTGATCAGAGGTGTTGTGTTTGAAGTTCGAACCTTTAGTATGAAGCCGCCTTTGTTAGGGAGCGGTTTACCCTAAATGTGGAACTTTCCAATGCGTCCGGATTTAATCGGGCCCAATGTAATTACTGGAAATCGGGTGGAAAACCAAAAAAATAGTATTAAATCTTTGCTTATCAAAATTGTTCTGGATTAATGTATGAATAGTCATTCAAATTTAATTAACTAATCAATAATCATAAAAAATAATCTTATAACGAAAAATAAATTTATGCATTACTTCATAGAAAACAAAATGAAACGTAGAAAATACTAGACATAAGAAGATGACTAGTTAACACTTATCTTACATTAAAAAAAGTCCATTATCCATCTTGTTATTTCAAAGTGATTTGAAATATGATTCGCCAGCCCAAAGGAGACAAGTCATGGAAGAGCTTATAAAGAAGCTGAAATATCCATTATCACCGCCACGTGTCATCGTGTGAATGAATAAGATTTTTTATTTTTAATCAGAGATTTTATGTTCCAGCTCAGCAATTTTTTTATTCGTAAATCCTTACGTGATACGAATCTTGATTAATTTGGAGAGTGAGAAATCAAAAATAAATAAAATCTGTCATCCGTAATTTTTCACCAATCTTCTGTACTTAATATGAACTAAAATATGGCTTGGACTGCAAAAGGTCAACATAATATGTTATATTTACAAATATAGCTTTTCCTTTCTTTGAACATACAAATTTTATTAAAACTTAGAGGTCGTTTGGTAGGTTGTATAAGAATAGCGCGAAATAATATGTATTAGTAATGCATGAGTTAGTAATGTAAGCATTAGTTATGCAGATATTATTTTTTATCTACTGTTTAGTGTTGTGTATTAAAATTATAATGCATTGCATAATTTTTAAGAAAAATAGTTATTTTCAAAAATGCCCTTCATATTCTATAGCTTTAAGGGACTTTAAGAACAATTTTATCTTTAACCATACTAATGCATGCATTAGTAGCCTTGGTATAACTAATGCCATGGTTTTCTATGCATTACTTATGCATAGGATAATACCAAGTATGATGTATAACTAATACAAATATTCGTTATATATATATATATATATATATATATATATATATATATATATGTTGAAAAAATATACCAAACAAGATATTAGTAATGTATAGAGCTAATGCTTGCATTATTTTTTCTAATACCCATGCATTAGTTAAAATAATGCATGCATTAGTTTTGTGTATTAATAATACCATGTTTGATAGACATTTTGAACCTATGCATTAGTTATGCAACCATTACTTATACATCCTATTTGGTATTATCCTATGCATAACTAATGCATAGAAAACCATGGTATTAGCAATGCAATGGGTTTTAATGCATGCATTAGCTTAGTTAAAGACAAAATTATCCTTCAAAATTTATGCTTGATTAAAATATGCTAGTTATTATATTAAATGCAAATTTAAAATAA